CACATGGCTCCCGGTGTCTCATTGCACATCTTTTTGACTGGAACATTGAACCAATGGTTGACTTTCTGCACAGGGTAGGATTTTTTGTTGTAAATATATTGGCTTCAGCAGCTATGGAGTCAATCAGTGGATATATGTGGACATATGTTACAAGGTGTGGTCTACATCTCTGCCAATTGTTCGCTCCTCTTTGAAGGCCTGAATGTTTTCAGCTGCTCTTTCAAGTTCCTGAGCCACGTTTAGTTTGTATAAGTCCATCACCTGACGGTAATTGCAAATACAACCGTCTAATATTTTGTTTTTTGTGCTGACAACTTCCTTGACCACTGGTATTTTATTGGTACGGATGAGCTGATATATAAGCGTACTCGTTTGATGAGACTCAATGCACTTCTTCTATGGGAGCGAAATGGGTGAAGCTGTTTCTGGTTGAGGTTACCATTGCTTTAGGTTACTAATATGGTCACTACTTAGCATGTTCTCCTGGGTTTATATAATGCCGCTGATGAAACTGTGCTCCCAAGAGTGTTAATAATGCTCACTTTTAATGTGCACATTACATTTCTAAGCACAAGACGTACCATCTGTGTCGAATGCACAAGACCACAATATTTGGTTATTATGGTCTGAAGGGGTTTTCCATTTATTCCAGTTTAACTAAATTAATAAGCACATTATATTTAACAGTGTAGGCTTTTGCAACCAACTTTTATAAATGGCTGTGTCCAGTGAAGGAGGGTTTAAAACACACATCTGACCCAAAACTCAACAATGAATCAGGCACCCAATATGCATCCAATATCTGGACCCCTACAAAAAGAGGTCAACAATAATTTACACGTCCCATCAGCAGCATAGGCTTCTGTGGGTGCATCTTTTTAGCAGTATCGGTTCAAAATAATAAATTGGATAAGATTTTCCATTTCGTGTCTTATTAGCAGTCGGGCATATTTTGAACGAATGTTGGTGAACTTCCAGATGCTTAGGGACAAGCACCCTCTCTTTTAGATGTGGATGTTAGTTTGACACTAAACTATGTATGACACAAAAAAATTGTGAATGTCCTTTTGGAGTGTATATAGAACGATATATTTTTAAAATATATTTCGTTAATTATATTCTCCAAAATGTCACTAATGATGATAGTTATGTATTGGTACTTACATCCAATTTGCTCCCAAGTAGGTGTACGAGAGGACTGCTAAGCTGGGATCAAAACAAACGGGAGTGCTGTGCAAAAGTTTAAAAAATGTTAGACTTCCAAGTTGGACCAATTTCGTGTCACGAGGCCCAATTAATATTCAACCAAATACTGGAGAAAGGTTCGCAGCCTTTGAACTACTGTACTTGTAGAATAAACCTCACACGTTTCTTAACACTGCATAATGCAATCATCTGGCGTGAACTGTGATCCACGTAAACACCGGTGCTTTCCATTGGGGATAATTATCACATTTATTACCATTGCAAAACTATTTCTACAAAGGCTGCACATCCATATAAAAAAGTTGTGCTGTCCCTTCTTGATAACATTAAACATCAAATTCAGAGTTCTGTGCTTGTGTGTTTACTTCAAGTTTCGGGTGTGATGCATGATTAATGCCTTGGGTGGGTTTAGGATAAAATGCCTCGTGCCGTCTACCTTGCAGCAGATGTCAAAGGTCCCGTTGTGTCATTCGAAGAAGAGGAGGTCATTGTGGGCTGGTGTCATGGTTCAAATTTACCAAAATGTTAAATTACACTGCAGAAATCTACTTAATGAGGAAACACCTCACAAATCACCGCCTTCGGCTGTGAGAACGTAGCAGCACCCTCCTGGGTCTCAGCCTCAGCCCTGGTTGGCCGTTTGGATGTCGGCCGTAAAACCCCAATTCATTGGGATGCCATGGTCGGGGTGACTTTCAGACGGATGTGCTGTCCATGCTATCACGTGACCCACATGAGTGAGTGCAATGTGATCGGTGGAAAAGCTTTTTCCCCACACCCAGCTTTTCCCAAGCTTCTTTTTATGTATGCATGTTGAACTTTTCTCACCATACGTAGCTGACCCTGGTAATCGGAGGTGCTTCTGTTGAAATGCTTTAGCTTACTGACGCGAGGCACAGAATAAATGAACAGACAATACGCCTCTTTCCACAGCTCTTCCTCCACACTAAAAGTGTTTTGTGAATGGAGTGAGACCACCGCGGGTATGGAGTGATGAGATCAGCTTCCGCAGGAGGGAGATTGATTGTGGAATTGTGGAACCACGCGTGATGGCAAAGTCGTGGGGAGGGCTTCATACAGCATTGACTGATGCTGGCTGCTGACTTTAAAAAAAAATCCCACGTGAATATTACTGCATTGACTTGGGAGCCCTGCAGGTGACATGGCAGTGAGCCTGTGTGTGAATACCGGCGAGCTGTCCATGTGAAGCCCATTACAGTTAACACAATACCATCTTAATGTGGATTCATATATCTACGTCTACATGCAACTTAATGTCAAGGTGGCGTGCACTACAGTGGGACATGTTCATCATGGGGGGAATACTTACACGGTGTTTATGTATACACGGTGTGTATGTGTTGTATTATTACATATTGTTGAGAGGAGAGACAAGTCAGTCCTCGGCAGAGGAGAAGAGGAAGGCTTTGAGTCTTGTCTTGAACAGGGGCAGGGAGTTGGCGCAGGGGCCTGGGGAGGGAGAGTTGAGATCACGGGGGCAGCAGAGGGGAAGGAGAAAATGGGCAGTCGTTGGTGTATAATCATCACAATGAATGTGGGCTAGCTATCGATGTGTAGTCCAGCAATGAACACTGAGGTCCTGATCTTGAAGGCAATCGGTGAAACCGACATTGTTGATTGTCGCAAGGCTCATCGTCTCCATTGCCCAGGCGCTCTGTGTGAATACTTTGCAGCCTCAACTTGAATGACCAAGGTAGAGGCCATTCGTTTAGTACGTGCGCATGGAGGGGCGAGGGAGGGGTTAACCCAAATGCGTACGCTTGCTTATGGGGGGTCTACTGAATAATGTAAGTACGCATAGCAAACGGTGGGGGGGGGGGGGGGGGGGGTGAAGCCTCGATAATTAATCATTTGTCGACATTGGCCTTCAAATGCGGCACAGTTCAGCTTCTTCGGCTGTCAGACAACAAGTACTACCGGGAGAAGTAGGCCTGCGGGAGAGGTGTCACTTGTGTGCCACCGTGCCCCTGACTGCAGCTAAATAAGTGGCCAGGGCACGCAACTTAATTCTTTAATGCAGCCGGCGGTGGATTATCTGTTTGCTTAAACACGTTAATGTTATTAATCCTTGATCGTTTCTGCGTGGATTAAATATCGGCCGTTTTATAGGATTCGGGGAGGGGGCTGTCAGGCGAACGTATGCAGGAGGGGGGGGGGTAAAAAGTCCGCGTGCGTACAGGGAGGGGGGGAGGGGTCAAGTTTTGACAGATTTTTGCGTACATACTAAATGGATGGCCCCTAACGTGAAAATACCATAAATTACCATCACCACCATCATCACAATCCCCGCAATACAATATCACCACCATCATGCTTATCACCATCGGCACCACGGCCATCATCACCAATTCTACCAGAGTCACGAATTGAGTACACCTCTGTGGCACAGACACTTGAGTTTAAACTCCTCTTGATCCGTGTTATTATTCTACCAGTCACGAATTGAGTACACCTCTGTGGCACAGACACTTGAGTTTAAACTCCTCTTGATCCGTGTTATTATTCTACCAGTCACGAATTGAGTACACCTCTGTGGTACAGACACTTGAGTTTAAACTCCTCTTGATCCGTGTTATTATTCTACCAGTCACGAATTGAGTACACCTCTGTGGCACAGACACTTGAGTTTAAACTCCTCTTGATCCGTGTTATTATTCTACCAGTCACGAATTGAGTACACCTCTGTGGTACAGACACTTGAGTTTAAACTCCTCTTGATCCGTGTTATTATTCTACCAGTCACGAATTGAGTACACCTCTGTGGTACAGACACTTGAGTTTAAACTCCTCTTGATCCGTGTTATTATTCTACCAGTCACGAATTGAGTACACCTCTGTGGTACAGACACTTGAGTTTAAACTCCTCTTGATCCGTGTTATTATTCTACCAGAGTTCCGAATTGAGTTCACCTCTGTGGTACAGACACTTGAGTTTAAACTCCTCTTGATCCGTGTTATTATTCTACCAGAGTCACGAATTGAGTACACCTCTGTGGCACAGACACTTGAGTTTAAACTCCTCTTGATCCGTGTTATTATTCTTCCAGAGTTCCGAATTGAGTTCACCTCTGTGGTACAGACACTTGAGTTTAAACTCCTCTTGATCCGTGTTATTATTCTACCAGAGTCACGAATTGAGTACACCTCTGTGGCACAGACACTTGAGTTTAAACTCCTCTTGATCCGTGTTATTATTCTTCCAGAGTCACGAATTGAGTACACCTCTGTGGCACAGACACTTGAGTTTAAACTCCTCTTGATCCGTGTTATTATTCTACCAGAGTTCCGAATTGAGTTCACCTCTGTGGTACAGACACTTGAGTTTAAACTCCTCTTGATCCGTGTTATTATTCTACCAGAGTCACGAATTGAGTACACCTCTGTGGTACAGACACTTGAGTTTAAACTCCTCTTGATCCGTGTTATTATTCTACCAGTCACGAATTGAGTACACCTCTGTGGCACAGACACTTGAGTTTAAACTCCTCTTGATCCGTGTTATTATGTTTTTATACGACTAAATGGGAGTGCGGTGCACTATGAACCTGGCGAGTTTGATTCCCGGCCACGGATAACAATGCTACCGTCCAGATATTTAATGCGTTTTGTATACGTGTCGATCCGTATTTGCTACATGTGTGTGAATTAACACTCTGAAAATATGCAAATTAAATGTTTTGTCTCAATATTTTTATTTAAAAAACCATCGTTGAATAAACGCTGTGATTGTTCTGGTGGCCGTGGCTGGAACCACGTGTTGTTGTTCACTGTAGTCTCTGGAGGAGCTCAATGGACTGGGGCCAGGCCGGGATAAGGAGAAGAAACGTCTGAGCACATTCTCCATGATTCTGGGCAAAGGACGCAGCCGCAAGTCGGAGCCCTATCACCACGAAGGTAGCGGCGCCACCCGGTGCCCGCACACACCCAGCCTCGTTCAGCGGTGGGCAGTCACAGTGGCAGATCACACCCAGCCTCGTTCAGCGGTGGGCAGTCACAGTGGCAGATCACACCCAGCCTCGTTCAGCGGTGGGCAGTCACAGTGGCAGATCACACCCAGCCTCGTTCAGCGGTGGGCAGTCACAGTGGCAGATCACACCCAGCCTCGTTCAGCGGTGGGCAGTCACAGTGGCAGATCACACCCAGCCTCGTTCAGCGGTAGGCAGTCACAGTGGCAGATCACACCCAGCCTCGTTCAGCGGTGGGCAGTCACAGTGGCAGATCACACCCAGCCTCGTTCAGCGGTGGGCAGTCACAGTGGCAGATCACACCCAGCCTCGTTCAGCGGTGGGCAGTCACAGTGGCAGATCACACCCAGCCTCGTTCAGCGGTGGGCAGTCACAGTGGCAGATCACACCCAGCCTCGTTCAGCGGTGGGCAGTCACAGTGGCAGATCACACCCAGCCTCGTTCAGCGGTGGGCAGTCACAGTGGCAGATCACACCCAGCCTCGTTCAGCGGTGGGCAGTCACAGTGGCAGATCACACCCAGCCTCGTTCAGCGGTGGGCAGTCACAGTGGCAGATCACACCCAGCCTCGTTCAACGGTGGGCAGTCACAGTGGCAGATCACACCCAGCCTCGTTTAGCGGTGGGCAGTCACAGTGGCAGATCACACCCAGCCTCGTTTAGCGGTGGGCAGTCACAGTGGCAGATCACACCCAGCCTCGTTCAGCGGTGGGCAGTCACAGTGGCAGATCACACCCAGCCTCGTTTAGCGGTGGGCAGTCACAGTAGCAGATCACACCCAGCCTCGTTCAGCGGTGGGAAGTCACAGTGGCAGATCACACCCAGCCTCGTTCAGTGGTGGGCAGTCACAGTGGCAGATCACACCCAGCCTCGTTCAGCGGTGGGCAGTCACAGTGGCAGATCACACCCAGCCTCGTTCAGTGGTAGGCAGTCGCAGTGGCAGATCACACCCAGCCTCGGCCAGCGGTGGGCAGTCGCAGTGGCAGATACCCAAGTGACAATAAAAGAAGCAGACTAAATGCCTTGTCCACGTATGTCTCTCCGCATGAAAAATAAAGGTTTTTTGACATCCCATCAGCCACACGGCCTTCTGGGGTGCATACTTTCAGCAATCTGGACTGGTTTTGACTTTCGGTGTCTCATCAGCAGGGTCAGCCTAGCTGGAACCAATGCGGGCGAACTGCCAGACGTTTATAGGAAGGGACCTTCGCTGGGTCCTCGTGGGCAGTCGCACTCCATCGAGTCCCCACGGGGAGGTAGAACAGCCATCGCTTGCGGAGTCCTACTCGGTTCAGTGTGCAAGATCTAAATCTTTTAACAATAAAATAAGGCGATACATGTGCAGATAGGCACTGTTCATATACGGACTCGGCCAGCTGGCTCAGTGGGAGAGTTAGCGGCTCACAGACGGAAGGTTGCGGTTTCATATCCTGTTTGAGGGTTGGCTCAGCTCATAACTCCCTCCAGCATCAATACAATGTGCGATTTTGTGAGGAAGATGACAGAGGTTGTCCTCTGGATAGCCTCGTCCCCGCCATAGGGATGTGGAACTTTTAACCACTGGCTCAGGGCTGTAAATAGGAGATGAGCACCGACTCGATGTTCACTTGAGTAGGGAATCCCTTTGACTTTATCCCAACAAGAGCTAGACGTGACTGAGCTACTATGGAGTAGCGATCGATGTTGCTCTGACTGCTGCATGGTGGCTGTCCGCACAGTGTTGACCCCGCAGTCGAGTCCAGCTCACGGGCTGCTTCCTCTGGCGCACCCCGAGGCCGTTCTCCCCCCGTGCACCGGGACACTCCCCGGAGCGCTGGGGGGGGCATCCGCTGGAGATCCCGTGACTAAGCTGCAGCTGGCCGAGGCTGCCCGGGTACGGAGATTGTATCCACAGTAAACTCCCCCCCCCCCCCCACCATGATTGTTTTCAATGACCTCATCCGATTATCTCACTCCATAATCTCATTCCATGACACCATTCCATGTTGATTCTACAGATTCGTTTTTCAGCAACAAGAATTTTTCTTTTTATAATTTTGCGTCAAATTCTAAACACAGTTCATCACAGATTTCCTCTCATTGTGTTATTTTCCAAGCTCTTATAATAACCTTAATCAATTAAAGAAAGTTTTTGCACTTACCTGTTACAACTTTGAGAGTTATTTGCCAGCAGCTTGACATGTTAGGCCTCTGTGCTTTGCAACTGTGTTCAAACATAAAAGACCCAGCACATTTGGCAAGGTAGAACTCCCACGGCACAGAGCGATGTGCCACTTCAGGCAGCTCGGCACAACCTACAACCGGCACCATGGTCCTCATCGCCAAATGAGAAAAATTAGCGGAAAGTGATTCGCTTGGGATGATGCACAGCCCAATCATCGCGCCCTCTTGGCGGACTAATGCCCACTCGCAGGCCACTCTTCCGTCGCCTTGTGCCACATAAGGACAGCTGCCATCAGGGGCCCCTTTGGCTAAAAATAAAACTATAATCTGCGATGCGAATGTCGGGTTTATTTATGGCTCACACTCACACGTGCTTCCTGCTACCATCTAGTGGCAATATCTGGAAAAAATATTGGACTTAAGGACAAACCATAATGAACCTCATGCAATATGAAATTTTCAAGTTCACAGAATGAATGTTAAAAGTGTCTGGCTGCTGGGCGACGTGCATTTGAACAACCCATGGCTGTACGTGTAGTAATGCTGTTGGATGAGAGGCCTGGTGGCCCGGTGGCTCAGCGATAGAGCGAGTGGCTCGCAATCATCAGGTTGCGAGTTCACATCCTGGTTAGAGGTTAACTTGGCCCATCTTCCTTCCAGGATCGATAAAAATAGGTTCCAAATTGTGCGCAAGTCAACATTGGTTGTCCTATCGATAGATTTGCCACCACCATAGTCATCGAATAGCCGTAAATCAGACCATCTTGAATGTTTCTCCAGGTATTGTGATCCATCGGCCCAAGCCAGGCCTCCTGGATAGGCATAAGAATGAGGAATTTCCGGCACTGGCTCAGGGCTGTTAACGGGAGATGAACACCTCCTCAATGCTTATTTGAGCATGAACTCCCTTTGACTGTTTGACAGTGGAGTGGTGGGCCAGTGAAGTGCTGATTGCACTTGACCTTGGCCCTACAGCATCATCTGGCTTAGGATGTCAACATTGGTTTGTGGTCCCACAGGTGACAGCCATGTCTCGCTGGAAGTCGGACACCATCCTGGCATGGCTGGAGCTCAACATGTCCATGCCTATGTACGGAAAACACTGCCGGGAGAACATAAAGAGCGGCAAGGTAGACACGGCAAGAACCGCACCGGCACGCGCTTGCAGCGTAGCGATCCGTAATCACCCTGGCACCCCGTGGCCGCCTCGCAGTCGTTCAGGTGATAGGCAGGCGACGAATGGGAAGGACGATTGGCAGAGGAGCTTTAGACACAAACTGCCACTGAACTTTTAATATGCTGCTCGATTTCCAATAAAAATTTAAATCGCCCCACATAAATATCGCCTGAAGTTAATTAGATTAGATCAGGCGTGCATTTACAATTAGAGGAGTAACAGACCATGAATTGGACATCGGGGATCATGTTTTTCAAGGATTGTGATTATTACTCAACACATCACATTGTCTTTCACTTGCAATATATTCTGCAAACCACTTCTGATTTTCATTGAGGACGCACAAAGAGATGCACGTCAGATACTGTAGGGGAGGAGAAGGTGGCAAGCAGTAAAACATTCACTAACCTGCCCCTGTATAAAGCAAACGTGGGCACACGTGCGCTCTGCACGAGTGAGGTGGCATCGATTTCTGACCTCGTCAAACACAGTAATACGTGCACGTTTAAGTACGTGTCGGGAGACACGAGTAATTACGCTTGTGGGCATATTCCAATCTTTTAAATGCTCATGCGCACATGGATACGCACGACGCAGCCCAGCGGCGGCGTGCGTGCCACTTGTTGCAGAGATTCACGGCTTGAATTCGGCAGGCCACCCTGGTTATACTGTGGTGCTGCCTATTTACCATCTAATATTGCGCATCGCCTGCTTCACAGTGGACGTTAAAGGTCCCATGACGTCATTAAAAAAGCATTAGGCCATGGGTGCTGGCATCATGGTCCACATTTTTTAAATTACACCGCAAATTACAAATTGCTTCATTGGGAAACACAGCAATCGCGAACCTGAAAACTTAGCAGGACCCTCCTGAAAGTAGTCTTGAGACTCGGTGAGGCTTTCCTAGTTCAACAAGCGTAATAACAAGCACTTGTATGTGTGTACGCCCAGACACATTCACATGCAAGCGAGCGAACGTGTAGTTTTATGTGGAGACATGGGCCTACAAATTGACTCCGACTTGCGTGCACCCACAGCTCCCCAGCCACGCAGGCTGGGTCTCCACGAGCTGCGTGTATTTTATTGGCTACTTCCTGCCACCGCTTGTCACTGGCCATCACTTGTCTCTCACTGCCGGCAGGTTCTGCTGGGGCTGTCCGATGAGGAGCTGGAGAAGGCACTGGGGGTCGCTAATCCTCTGCACAAGCGCAAGTTGCGTCTCGCCATCGAAGACTATCGGCAGGCGGAGCAGGATAGCAGGTGTGGAATCACAGTCTGATTGAGCTCCCTTTGTCTCTTATACTCATTACAGCTGCCAGTGTGCCCAAGCTGCTCGTAATTTATAATAAGAAATAATCATGGACTGGTTTCGACATTCAGTCTCTCATCTGCAGAGTCAGGCTTGCTTGAACCAATGCTGATGAACTGCCAGATTTTTGCATCGGATCAAGCAGGCTGGACTGCTGCTAAGACGCTGAATGTAAAAATTAGTCCATGCCTAGAGATTGCTTTAACCACTGTTGCTGAAATTGTGTTTTGCCAGAAGGCGGTATGGCTGATGGGATGTGTAAAACACCTTTTTTTGGAGGGACAGATATGGGAGGAAGCAAAATAGTTGTTTTTATTCTGCACGTAGTTGTGTGTGTGTGCGCGCGCACGTGCCCTGCTTGTGCATGCTATCATTCTCTCCCTGCTGGTATTGGTGGGCCCCAGCCGGTGCTGTCTGTCGCGAGCGTCCGAGTTGGACCACCACTGGGTGGCCAAGACGTGGCTGCGGGACGTGGGGCTGCCCCAGTACGCGCAGGTCTTCCACTCCCAGCTGGTCGATGGTCGTGTGCTGGGATCGTTGGGCCGCAAGGTAGAAGCCGTCTGTGATTTGTGAATTTGTGACCAAAAATGTTTTTTTCTGAAAACATGAAACTTTAACTTTGGGCAAAATAACCAAATGTACCCATCACACATCCTGCATTTTTCTGAAAATCACTCGGTTCTGGGGTTAAGTCAAGCCATTGACATGGCCGAGCAGTAGAAACTCCGACTGAAATTAAATGCATGTCATGGGGGCATTTCACACACGTTGCCTGCTTGTTGCTCTTGTTTTAGGAGCTGGAAAAGCTGCTGGGAGTCACATCTAAGTTCCATCAGACGAGCATTCTGCACGCGATCGAGCTTCTGCGAAGCGTGGCCTTCGATCGCGAGGCAAGTGCCTCCATCAGTCCACACTGACCCTCATTGCTCAACTCACCCAACACCTGCCCTGCTCATCGCCACTGCCAGTCGGGGCGGTGACATGGCTGAGAGGTAGCGCATTCACTGCCTGTTGCAGAGGTTCATAGGTCGAATCAGGATGGCTGCCCTGGTTGTGACACTGTGTTCCGATGCCACGGTCCAGATTTTCCAAATTTGGTGAATTACTTGCGATCATCGCCCTCTATTGCTGGACCCTCCTGAACAAGAGTCTTGAGACTCTGTGAGGCTTTCCTTGGTTAACAAGCACATCAAGATAACAGCCACATGTGCAGCCGGATGGTGTCTTATTGGCCTCGATATGCGGTGGCTCTTGCAGGAGCTGAGTCGGCGCCGCCAGCTGTGTGAGGTGCGGGATGTGGACACGGTGGTGTGGACAAACCAGCGGGTCATGCAGTGGGTCCGCAATGTCGACCTGAAGGTGAGCGATACACTCACCAAAATCGAAACCATCAGTGCTACCATACATAGCGCAGAGGTGGCCATAGTTCGAATGTTGTCCAATTTTCGATGTAAAATCTTCCCCATGTCGAACTATGGGAGAAAAAGCACCAGCTGCTCAACTGGTATGGCCGTGAGGCTGCCCACAGCCTCCGCAGCCCCAATACGGCAGCTGGCGCTAGTGCGGGCCAATCTCCCTCTATTGAGCAGCATGTCGCTTTAGAAGATCTCCACTTAGAGACACGCGCGGAAGAGTAGAGCAGATGACGACACCAATCATCAAAAAACAGTTTTTACCAGGTACAAAACCCAATGTTTGCCCACTCGCGCGTTTGCCTGCTCGTGGTGAAATTGAGCCGATGCGTCCGTCTCCCCACCCTCACCAGCAGGAGTTTTCTGAGCACCTGGTGAGCAGCGGTGTCCACGGGGCGCTGCTCGTGCTGGAGGGCAGCTTCACGGCCGAGGGCTTGGCGGCCATGCTGAAAATTCCGCATAACAACGCCTTCCTGAGGCGACACCTGGCCTCCGAACTCGCTGTCATAGTCGACCCCAGCAGGTGGGTCCCAGCCTGGCTTGAACCGCAAGCGTGACGCACGACCGCCTGTCGGATCGCTGGAAGGCAGCACGCCAACGCACTGATGCGCAATTCCGCAGCGGCGCTATGCAGCGCAACGCGTGACTGTGCCACGCGGTGTCGTCCGCCCGTCGTTGCTTCTCTGCGGCCGCTGTCCTCGCATCTTGCGGCGTCGCGAGTTGGCATTTGTGCGTTGCGTAGAGTGGCGTGGATTAGCGATGTGCTTTGTTCTCCTAATGTGTGATGTGGGGTGTTGAAAAATGAATGCACTTTAAACTCGCTTCCCTGCACTGGTAAAGGACACACTGGCATGATTAACCTTACTAGTCTGATATAGGTCACACATACTGTATTTCCTGCTCTAGCCATCCAAAGGCTATCAAATGAAGACTGATATTTATGATGTAGTCTCTTTAGGAAGATTATCACTTATGGAATCTTGCTGAGGATGGCCAGTTAAATGTGGTCTGTTTTTATTGTGTATTTACAATGTTAGTAGGTTTTTGGATAGGTTTATGAATTGTGAATATGAAGGGTGTTTACTTGGAATGAAATAAAATCGTCAGTGGAAAGGCCTTCTAGTAGGCGCCGTGGGTAACACCTGTGCCTCACAGCGAGATTCCCGACTTAGGCGTAGAGTTTTGTATGTATGTATGTAGAGTTTTGTATGTATGTATGTAGACTTTTGTATGTATGTATGTAGAGTTTTATGTTCTCCAGTGTTCTGCATTGCATCTCCTCTGGGTTATCTGGTTTCCTCCCATTGTATAAGAAAACAATGTAACTCTATTGGTTAAACATCTCAGGTGAAATAATTCCCAGAAACTTACTTGGGTAATGTTGCTCAGTGCTGCCACGGCACTCTCACCTCTTGCTGCCAATGGGAAGATTTTTTGTGGTCTCCACAGTCCGTTCTTCTGGCTGCTGCTGCTGCTGTCACCTTTGGTCCACATGTCCCCTTCCTGCTCCACCGTCGGCTGTTGCTGCTATTTATATGTGTTATTGTTATTACTACTACTCTTGTTTACCAAGAAAAGCCTCACTGAAAATTACTCGCAATTAGAAGTTTGTGAGTTCAAATCCTGGTTGAGGTTTGACTCAGCTAACCATCCTTCTAGGGTGGATAAAACAGGAACCGCTTTGTAGAAAAGTCAGCAGCAGTTGTCACATGGAGAGACTCGCCACTATGGAGAGCAGGAAATCACTTTCACTTTTTCAGTGTAAAGGTATTTTATTGAGTGTTTAGTTTCTATCATTTTTGCAGTTGTACATATGAAGTACCTTGCCTTTTACTGCAGTGTCCTCAACTTTGTAATTGGATGAGATTCCTTTTCTTTCCCATGGCATTTGAAAATGCAACAGGCTACTCTTGTAGTTTTAATTTTATCAGCCATTCTGCAGCATCGGAGATGGCTGAGTGGAGTCCGCTTGTTCCACCAGAGTACATGGCATGTATTGGGCAATCACCACATTTGCAGTTTGGTGAGCCCGTGATCTTCAATTCATGAAGAAAATATGCGCACCGTGTCCACTTGTTGTTGGGACGCAGTTGAGAGCCGTTCCCACTGTCGCCGGAGCGGCAGAGAGAAACCCAGAGGGCTCTTGCTCGCCTCCTCCGTGCCTTTCTTGTTCAGGAATCGACTTTCCACCACGTCTCATGCGATCGGGTGGCACTGGGATCAGTATCGGCCGACAGAGGAGTTGAGGCGCGAGTCCACAACGGACGTCTCCATTTTAGCCGGGGGGTGCGGAGGGTGGTGGGGATTCGCTGTCGATGTGCAGAGGGAGATCCCTCGGTGTTGCGACATCCTCTCAGATGTTCAATGGCGGGATGTTCGTGAGTACTGGCAGCCGCTGCAATGGCGTAGATGTTAGGGAGCCACCCACCGCACGCAGCGCAGCGTTGAGTGTCAATGCGCACGATGGGAGAGCTGCTGCATCAGACACGCGTAGCGCAGTGTTCTATCATCGAGAATGGAGCACGGCCTGTGTTGATGTCCGAACGGTCCCAGCGTCAAATCCCTAGGAAACCCTTGACAGCTTTTGGATGGTGTTGACCCTAGATTTTGTCTTTTTGCCGGTGGATTCGAGGTGATGGCAATAGCCCAGAGTCCGGTCGAGAGGGATTCTGAGGTGATGGCCAAGGAGGGCTGTGAGAGAATTTGACCTTGAGTGGGCTTCAGGCTTCAATGTTGCTCCAATGAGAAGGAGGTTGCTCCAATAATTAATTTGCATGGGACGTTTTTTGTCAGTATCAAAGTAGGAAAAATAAGAATAGGTTTTACCCGTCATGTCATAAAACAGGTGTTAAGATCTGTTTAACACGTAGGCTTTCGCGACCAATATCATCCGTATTAGAGTTTTTTAGTTATATCGCGTAAATATATAAATGTGTCGTTAAAACCCGCCACCACCCGACACAGCCAACCAGTAAGGGTTGTCACGTAAATAGAACGTGCCAATTCGTCACAAGTACAGCACTAACCGTTGTGTTTGAGAGCCAAGCCACAACATTTACAATCTGAGTACGACATTTCGGCAGTAACGATGAAGCTGGTTGTAATTACTGGCGAAACGTCGTACTCAGATTGTAAATGTTGTGGCTTGGCTCTCCAACACACCGGTTAGTGCTGTACCAGTGACGAATTGGCACGTTCTGTTTATGTGACAACCCTTACTGGTTGGCTGTGTTGGGTGGTGGCGGGTTTTAACGACTCATTTATATATTTACGCGATCTAACCCAAAAACCTCTATTATAAAGGTGTTAAGATATTCAAACACTAAATTGATTCTTTTTGCAAGGAATCAAGTCTGAATTAACCAGATGTACTTGTCCCAGTAATGTTCAAAGACAATGTGTCATTACCAGAGCATGTCTTGTTTGCATGTTTACCACAAGTGTGATTAATGCAAACTCGATTCCTTGAAAAAGGAATCTATTTGGTTTTAATATATTAACACCTGTTTTATTGCCAGAAAGGGTAAAACCTATGCTTATGACTTAAAGCTTTTGTGACTGCAGGAATTCATATTCTTGGGTCTTTCGGTAAAGTCACGTAGATAGGTTCAAAGAAAATAATAAAAAATAACAGAAATTACGACGTTTCAATCGCAACGTCGTAGTTTTCTGTTATTTTTTTTATTATTTTCTATTATCTACGTGACTTTACAAAAGACCCAAGAATATAACTATTCTTATTTTTCATAATTAATTTGCAAATCGTATCCTTGACAATGTGTTTGCAAGTAATTTTCTTCCAGATCTAATCAAGAAAAAGCAGCGTTATAAAAAAAAGCATGCTAAGAAACCAAAATGTACTTAAATGATCACTTGTAAAAATAATAACGAGCAAACACAGATACAGCACCCTCACCTTTCCCACTTTGGACCAAACCCGGGCGTATTCCTCAGTCAACCTAGGGGCTATCACAATGTCACTTCCTGCCACATGAACACAGACGCTCATTTGCCAGACTGTCCAGACCAAATACAATCATGTGGCAGCCAGAGAAGTTATGATTTCTATTGATCAAAATAGAAACTGAACGTTTACGTGCGTGTTAACGATGCAAGTCAGTGTCGTGTTTCAGTGTTTCATCATTCAGCACGTCTGGTGCTTCCCATTGTTCTCATACGTGTATTTTTCTGTCTCCCTCCTTTAGTAAGCTTCCTAAACCCACCTTTAGGATGTAAGTACCTCTGCCTCTGCTTTCCTGAGATGTCACAGCATGCGGACAGCTCACACTCTGGCCTTTAAGAACCACGTGTGCATGCGTTGCTCTTCCCTCTCACTAATATGTTGTCAGCGGTGCTCCATTGCTCTGCTGCAGAATTGGCATTTTGTTTCACAAACAAAACCAAATGGTCTCAAGCACGCTCTCCGCCTGCAAATAGTGTGCGTTAGCCTGTGCTGAACCTACCAAGCAGCATTATGCAGCACCTCCATCCCCTGCGACTCTTTCTGTATGTCTTCCTGTGGCCTGTTCAGAGTGCAATATGACCGGTGACGAGGCACCTGAGAGGGCTTCCCGCACACGCGTGCACACTCGTCTGTGCTGACACAGACATGCAGCATTGTTCACAACTCCACACCGTTCTGATGAATCCGACTGATATAATTACGTCCAGATCACTTGCATAGTCTATATATCTGGGGGCCACACACAATCTGTCCATTAACACAAAGCACCACTGGGACTGAAGGAGCCTTGAGTTTAAAAGGCAAATATGATGCCAGAAAGGCGTCATGAGGCAGACGATTGTTGGTAATGCCATTATACAATCTGCTGCAGTCATGCATCTTCTTCTAAACCAAAATAATATAATTCGATGAAACTCAACATATTCGTCGATCACACAGCCCTAAAAGGAAAATATATACACTAGGCGAGTATTTCGAGCAATGGCTCTCCTTCATAGCACACGCACAATTGTTTCATGAGACTGGCCGCTCTGATAATAGCATATGGTATAAACGAGTGTGTACAGCAGAGTGGATGAGTGCATCGAAGCTGAGTGTACACCACATGCTGCGATGTGAAGGAAGATGATTGTACAGCGACCGTCGTTGTATGCTTATATTACACCCTCGACCCATGCTTGGACCTGGTTTGTGTGCCATCATCATCGAGTTCATGGTCTCTCACCGGTGATTATATTAATACATAGAGCTAAGGTATGGCTGGTTAATTCCACACTAATTACTAATTTGCCTTATGGTTATTGAATTTTAATATACAATATGTAAATGTTTGACCATTCCATCTTTGTGGTAGGAGCATATATTTCCTTTCAGCCGCTTCATAATAGGTTTAGAGAGTTTCAAGAGGACCTACATGTCTTGGTCAATATCTCAGCCGACATGACCATCAAGAGGCCAACGCTTTGGTTTGTTGTTTATGCCTGCCACGTCCTTAACCCCCTGCTGTTCATTAAGGGCCTTGATGATGGTGACTAGAACAAACACCTCAGTAGACTTGAATATTCAAAACCATCTGTCAATTAAGTAACACGGGAATTGGTGCAGCTGCCCACTTCTGCCTGGTTGGGAGTGTGACATCCCATCCCTGAGAGAGCTGTGATTGGAGCGATGCAACTGGGAGTCACCGAGTAGCATTTTGTCCAGTGGTATCTGCGTTCCATGGCAGTGTTTAGGGGTGAACATGCCCAACAAACGGTATGAAAACACAGAACTTGGTAGAATTCTTCCACTGTGGAATTCCCTTCCATCATCTCCATTTCCCAGCTCTTACAATCGGCGGCGAGTTGTTAACTACCTCGCCTGGTATAAAGGAGGTCGTGGGTTCTATCCCCACCCTGAGGCTTCTATTTGGAGTTTGCATGTCTCTCTCCCTGTGGTTTCGTGGATTTTTCTTTGGGTCTTCCATTTTTCCCTCCACATTTAGAAACACGCGTTTAGAGTATTTGGCTGCTATACATTTCCACATGATAAGCCACTTCGTTGAGCTATCATTTGTGGCCAGGTCGCTTCTCAAAAAAAATCTATATAGATCAGTGGGCCTTACCTGGTAAAATAAAATATCTTAGTTTCCATTAACCTTGCTCAATTCAAGAAACACGTGGCACCCTTGTCTATTACAACGTTGATAGTGCTGTTTGTTGCTGACCGTTTAACGCTTTGGAAATTGGGCCTGTGCGCAGCAGCTGTGTTTAAAATACACTGTCTCAATGCCCCCAACTAAAAATACTGCTGGTTTATTATCTTGCAGGAGGTAAAAGCACAGCGTTGGTGGGAAAATGTATTATTTCCAACTCTTTGTGGAATTACATGAATGTTGAGTGTAGAGTTAATGTGACAATGTTTTAATGTGTAAACCAGTTGTTCCCAACCTGTGGTTTGTGAACACGTGGGAGGCCCTTGTGTTGCAGCTCATACGATTTATAGTCGTTTTGATGTCGGTGATGGTGCCCGGTGGTGAGGGTGGACGGTGGTTCGTGGGTCCAGAAAGTTGAGCACCGCTGGTGGAAAACGCAGCTGCACAAAGCCCTGGCTTATTCGCGTGACATATCGTGGCGTGCACTTGTGTTTGTGCGTGGGGCTGCAGCTTTGGCTTTGACAAGGCACGGGAGCGCGAGACCAAGCAGGTCGTGTCTCGCCGTGGCTCAGACACGCAGCCCTTCCTGCGCAGTCACAACGGCAAGGCTAGCGAGCGCCGCAGTCTGAGAGTGAGTGCCCAGCACGGTGCCTGGCTTTCCTCGGAAGACAATTCCGTGTAGCCTACGTCAATATATTGGGGGGGATAATCGTAACGCTCGCATAGCGCCCGCAGTATAGCGGTCAGCCCACTGGACTTCCAATCCAGAGGACGTCGGTTCGATTCTATCTCCCGGCGCAGCAGTTGGAACAACGGTGCAGGTGTCTTAAATCCCCACCGCCCACTCAGCGGTGTAAATGGGTTCCACCAGGTCCCGTGTCGTGGGGTAAAGTCTGGATACGCCCAAATCTTCTAACACATCTGGTCAAAGTCAAAGGGGCAGACCAAATGCCCTCATGAGGCATTTCTGAGGCTCTTCCTCCAGCAGTGGCGTGATGCAGTAATTGCAGGACTGCACCCCTCCCGTGTACTTTCCTGTTTAGTACGATGAGAGTAGCGTGACAGCGCAACTCAGGGAAGGCCAGGCTTGACGTAGATGCTTAGTCAGTAGCTTTTATTTAACCGGGAGACGAAATAAGTCCATTGAGACACATAAACACATGGCCTCATTTGCAAGAGTGACCTGGGTTGGTGATAGTGATCTGATAGTAATGATGCATCTCTGGCTAAAAAGACGTTTAGTAATACAAGGAAGGACAATACATATAAACAGAAAAAAACCCCGACAGGCACACCCTCGCCCAGCCACAGCTGCTTGAACACGGAACGCACTGAAATGTACCAACAATCACAAACTATTTCAATCCGCAATTAAAACTCACGTAAAAGTTACAACATCGAGAATGCAGTTTTCATGACCGAGCGCTATCCTTCACCTCATTATTTATGCATTTCTTCATATGTTTGGCTGGGTGTTATATTTATTGTATAAATGCATACTGTATAAGTTATAGATGTTAAAAGTTTGTATTTGTGTCATTATGTGTCACTTGACACCATGGACAACTTTGCAAATGAGATGTTTCAAGGGAGATTCCAGGTGAAATAGTTCAATGAATATTATTTAGTCCGTGAAGCAAGGGAAAAGCAGCCAAACACAGCTGCTGTATGTAAAACTCGATATACAAACCAATAAAATATGAGCTTACTTGCTTTGATATTCTTCATGAAACATTTGCAGCGATACCTTACATAGTGAGTTGTATGATCGAGATGTCATCGTGGCCAAAGCCGTCGATGCCACCGCACCTCGCCAACGATTTCTACCTCCGCCAGAGCTCCACTTTTGTAAAGTCGAGACATGTAACCTCCAAGCTCTGCCCTGACCGTCTCCCATCATTCGGTCTTAGGTCTACTCTTTCCTTTGGTCACAGAACTCGTGGAGACCACTTCAATTCGCATCTTGGCAATCTGTCCCTCCCCCATCCCCCACACGTGCCCCTCCCAGCACAACCGTTTTGCCCAACCATGTTTATAACACTCACCACATAGCACGTTCGCTTCCAGACATTTGCATGGCTGTGCCTGTCCTGAGCACCAATTTCACAGACTTAGTGTAGTAATGTAACAATATGATGTGACTGCAGAGTGCTGACATTTACATCACCGTTGAAACACGCTGTGCTTTTCTGTTGTGTGCATGTCCACCAGGCTTCCCTGGGGCTCAGCATTAGCCAGAAGTACGACCAGGAGACGGGCGTGTGATGCTGGAGCACACCACTCCGCCAGAGACACGACTGAGGGAGAGGACTCTTCACGTGAAGCACGTTGCCCTCCAGCTACCGGGCGCTGCAGTGGAAGGCTCCAATCAGAGTTCCTCATACTGAATGGACACACATGACACTGTTGGCCAAGGTGGACGTGCTGGGGTTAGTGGAGGCTGCATACGAGAAGCAAGAATGTAGGCTTGTGAGACTTCAAGGTGTCCGTTGGTAATAGGACTGCAACACTCAAGCAAATTGCAAACACAAGCCAATTGGACAAGTCGAGGCCCGGCAGTGTTGGTGACCGGTCAGCTCAGGCCTTGCATGCACTGGCTCCTCTACAGAGTTCACTGACCAACGCCTGTGTGCATATTCGTATTACTGTACGTGACTAAGCAGTGGTCAAAATGTAAACGTAGAAGCGCTGGTATAAAACCTCTTAATCACTCAGCCCATGTTTACTCCATTTTCCCCTCTGTGGAAACAGCGTAATATTGGAATTGGGACCGTTCTGAGAAGTGTCGGTGAACGTGTTTTAGTGTTCTGAGCGGTGCCCGCGTGGCGTTCCGTCGCATACCGGCTCGTATCCAAAACTGTGATTAAGTACAAACACGTGGTGAGTAAAACTGGCTCTGTTTCTTTCACCGCCGAGAGGAACGTTGTGATTCTTTAAGAAGGCCACTTATCTGCAACACTTAGATTTTATTCGTACTATATTTGTTATTTTAATTTGACCAGTATGTGATCATAGAAGCGGCAGCAATGTCACGTACAGGAAGAGAAGACGAGAGAACGTAAATGTCACATTTTTCAGTTCCTCTCAGAGAAACTGTTTCTGTTTTTAATCAAACTTACAATGCCCCGTTTTTAATGACCTGTTTTTAATCACGTTACAAACTTACATACCCCAACAACGTTGATTATTACGATTCTGTCTGGGTTACCTGGAACTCCATTTTACGTGGATACATTAAAATCTATCATCGTGGAGAATATAACGAACACATTAAAGAGCAGACAATACACACTTTTCCCATATCTGCCCCTTCACAGGATTATTTTTTTTGACACATCCCATCAGCCACACGGCTTTCTGGAAGTGCACAATTTCTGTAGCATGGTTCAGCACAAGCAAACTGGACCAATATTGACATTGTCTCATCAACAGAGCCACTTGGGCGACGCTGGTGGACTGCCGCATGTTTGTCGGGAAGCTCCCTCGGTTACAAGTGGGTCCTGGCTGTATCGTCTGCTTGTTTATTTGCAGAAACACTCCCGGTGTCACCTGATCTACAGTATATAATCAAAATACAGCAACAGTTATGTCTTTATTTTTATAAATATACATATTTTAGGTTTAGCACAGATAATTACAATTAGTGGATAGAACTGCTACATAAAAGTAGTTCATACTTGGTCAAAAGTGAATGTTATATGCACATAAAAGTTCAGGTGTCATCATGGTCTTCGGCTTTGGCCATGATGACATCTTCATCCTGCGCAATGGAGGGGGGAAGGGTTGAAGCCTCCGTGTTCAAATTATTTTTCTAAATTGAAAACTCAATTTCTGTAGAACTGCTTGTTGTGTTTAGTTTGTTGTCTTTCCCCCGCACCTCCGATGAGCACGGTTGGCTAAGTACGGTGTGAAAGAAGTTCAAAAACAACAACAACATGCATGAATCTTGCACAATGATGGGTGCAAGGTTTGAGGCCTTCGTGTTCAAGGAGGGTGGCAGGATTATTTTGGTAAAGTCCCAACCATGCTTGACATCCATTGGCAGCTTGTATGAATAATGATCGTGTGGTAATGAATGACTTCGTCTCCACTGGTATGTCGCTAAATAAATCTGGCTTAGCGTTGTCAGTGCTCATGTCCGATGTGGCGAGACGTGCACTGTGCTGGCCTGAGTCGGAGTTGTTGGCTCCAATGTCAGAACTCATAGGCACGGCTGGTTCCTCCACATGCAGGGCATCAGATTTACCTTATGTTTACATTGTGTTAATACCACTAATCTGTTTACCTCATGTAAATCCCCTTTCAGAATGTGTAATAGTTCCACTCTACCCACTGCTCATTACCAGATTTTGACGCAGTTTTTATAGCACGCCGCGCGACCTGGTTGAAACCACTGTGCACGGAATAAGGTGATCACATTGTGTGGTTTGGACAGGTTACAGTTTTATTTTTCACGTGTAACACAATGGGGCTTTGATTAAAGACACTAGTTTTGCCTAATACTCTGATTCAAGTATTAGCTATTTTATTCAAAAACTCTTTTCATGATATTTTTAATAAATTAAAAACTCAACTGTTATCTACTGAACCGTCATCCTCAATATTCATGATTAACCAGCCAAGTGACCGGTAGGGCAAGTGGCTGCCATTCGGAAGGTTGGAAGTTCAAATCCTGTTCGGGGGTTGACTCAGACCATCATCCCTCAGAGTCATTAAAATGAGTACAACTTTGTGGGGAAGATTGACAGTGGTTGTTTAATGGATAGACTCACCCCTGCCATAGGAATGTCGAATTTCCACCGCTGGCTTAGGGCAGAAAATGGGATAAGCATCGCCTCAACGCTCATTTGGCCACGAAATGGCTGACTTTGCCTGGTTCAAGTGGCTGATTAACTTGTCAAATGCGATGCACAGAAGCCAGGCGACACCACTCAAGTGGTGCAGGTGACGTTCCTCATGTCCCCTTCCCAGGAATATTTCCCAGACGTGAAGCGAGAAAGCTCGGGTGGCCCTCGCCACACTGCCACGTGGAAACATCGCTCCAGTGTTGAGATTCGCAGTGAAATGTGGACACACTGCTGTGTCTGAACAGGCAGCACGCTTTGCGGATAACAGGGAACCTATGGCCCCTCCTGGCACTCTTTCAAATATATTCAAAGATATTCAGGATTCCACTGACATTCTATCTGCAAGGTCATGCCATGTGAATACAGCATGAGTATACAGTTTGTGTCGTGGCCAACAACAAATAGCACTAACAAAGGTGACATAAATATGCTAACTTATTTATTCCATTCAGGAACATTATTTTAAGAGCTTCGGAAAAAATCTGATGGGAGGGAATTCCATCGTGGAGCAATGCGAGGAAAGAAGTAAAGGAGAAGTGGTGTGACCTCGTCGCGAGTCGTGGAAACAGTCGCGACAGGAGCGTGATGAGGGGACGCCGGACCGCCAGTGAGTGAGTGACTACAGTTAATTAGTGGCTGCTGGATCATCAGTCAACCTGACTGCTTTGCTCTGAATTCAATCAAGTATAGTGAAGTGGGAACTGGACGTCCCACCCTAGATATCGCAACAGCATTCCAACTTTAGCCGAATCTCTGAATTCTGTCGTCGTATTCATTGTTTGGAGAGAAAGAGGCTTTCATAGGGAAAAAACCGAAGCTACGTCAATGCCTCCTCAGCTGAATTATTAATACAGCCATTCCATGGCAGGTCAGATGAGAATATAGCTGTGGCCAGACATGCAACGATGTCTCAATTGATGCCACGACCTCCTAGCTCTCGACGTGTTCTCCGGTCAATAAGAAGATTGCCCTCACCACCTTTGAGGTTCTCCATGGACTGGCCCCCACCTACCTTTCCCTTCTCACTCTGCCCCGCACACCGAGGCCTTCCTTCGGTCAGCAATCAGAGTCGGCCTCCACTGAGTGGCAGGACACTCTTCCACAGTCGCCCTGCCTGGAATGCCCCGTTGCTCGCCATGCACGCTCTCGAGGCCCTTCTGCCTCCGACTATTTTCTATTAATGCGCCTCCTTCTCATTATCTCACTCGATAAATAAAATAACAAGTATTCTTTTACACAACCAATCATCTGCACAGCCTTCTTGGAGAGATGTAAACTTTTTAAATACGTTTTGGCGAGTCATATGTAGGTATGTTTAACTTCTTTTGCACCGTAATTAGCCAACCGTGCTAATCTGCTTATGTATTTTATTACTTATATTCTCCATAACGATACGAATTGTTTTCATCTGCACCATTACAATACATCGTTCCCCGATCTGCCCAGAAACCCTGACCATCTAGCACCCCCATAAGTCCTGCCACACAAATCCCGTCCATGTGCGTGGCCCCCGTGTACTGCGTGTTGGGATGTAGTTCCATTTAGACACTTTATAAGTCCACATGGCTTTAGTAATTTGTACCCATTAATCAAAAGTGGCATATGCAGTAGGGCAGTGGTAATACAGACATGGATGAAGTTAATTCCCAATCTGGGTACAACCGTAGCTCTGGTGTTGTGTGTATCTGTGGAGTAAAACTAGACAATTGACAGGGGGCTTCTTATGAGTAGTCATTTGAAATTGTCATTGGAAATGTGCATACAGTTTAGGTTAGTTTATAAAGATGGAATTCCTGCCCATCTTATATTTTTCCAAACACGTAGAACCCTGTTCAATCAAGTAATCGAGTAATTTTTAACTCTGTTACAGCTTTGATGGTGTTGCTTGTTGCTGGCCGCTTATTGTGGGCCTGTGAGCCTGCGCTGGACAGTTGTGTGAAGAACCCGCCCTTGTACTCTTTTGTAAATTGGCACAATGTTGTTAAACCGGAGGTTTAAGTGAAAAATACCAAATGTGAGTTGGCACGCATCTTGTGCCTCCGAGCCCAAACCATTCCCTTCCCCAATCAATCTTCTCCAATTCGCTGCTTAAAAGTTACACTTTAAATTTCATACGAAATAATGGAAATTGTCGATATAGTAATTTTATTATAATAATCAAACCTGTCCATTTTAACCCAACTTTTCTCCATCCAGGATGTCCTTGTAAGGCTGCGTTCAACATGTCCATTACACAGTCAAGTTACTCATTTAAGATGACAACGCATTATATTTTAAATAAACTAATATTTTGGATGCTAGACAAACATCTGTTCCATTTTCGATGGGGTACAGTGAAATAAAGCCACATGTACCAAGAGTGGTGCAATGAATGCTCACTTCAGAGGCCTACATCGTAATAACCATGACAATCTATGTCAGTCCACGGTGTTGACTGACGCATACATAGCGAACACAAAATAACAAGTGTAGAAACATTTTAAATCAAGAATGTATATATCCATAATGGAGGTTTTTTGGGTTAGATCCCGTAAATATATAAATGTGTCGTTAAAACCCGCCACCACCCGACACAGCCAACTAGTAAAGGTTGTCACGTCAACAGAACGTGCCAATTCTTCACAAGTACAGCACTAACCGGTGTGTTGGAGAGCCAAGCCACAACATTTACAATCTGAGTACGACGTTTCGTCAGTAACTACAACTAGCTTCATCAGGTGACAGCCAGATTTGTGGAGAAGTCTAACTGTTTCATTCCTTATCTAGAGGCGTTGATGTGTTGACGACCCTTCTGCGCTCTTGCACAATGTGGGGGAGAGATTAATGAGGCAACGTGTATTATGCATGTGCATTACGCGAGCCATTTGATCTTTCCTTCCTGTCTATTGTGTGTATTAAAATAGCCGTACCAACGGTAATCCCTAGTGAAGTATGTTGCCCTTCATCGGCATGCATTTAAATAATGTTTTATTTGATGATTCGCTTCCACGCAGCACTAAGGCGGTAGCTATCCGAACGGGTGGTGGCAGGTTTAACGACACATTTCTATATTTACGCGATCTAACCCCAAAACAACTCTTATGAATGATATTGGTTGCGAAAGCCTACGTCTTAAAATAATGTATACAGTTTGAATTTACACAATTAAAATCACGCAGTCAAACATACATTCAATATTGACACGTGGTGCTCACCCCTGGTTATGTAGAATGTCCTCGAGCTGTCATCAGTACCCAGAAATGCTCTTTCTAAATGTCTGCGTCTCATGGATTCGCTAATTGCGCCATTCACTGATTGGCCTTCACCAAGTGGCGCAGTCGCACTGGCGTCAGGGACTGCGATAGGAATGAGTTCCCTGTGACAGGCAGCAATGGAACGACGGGGAGCAGTTCGCTGCAGAACGTCAACACAACATCACTTAGCGTCATTGTGGAGCATTTAAGAACCACTATGAATAATAGCTGTCCCTCCACATGAAAATTAAAGTACGTTTTACACATCCCATCAGCCATACAACCTTCTGGAAGTGAATCATTTCAACAGCTTTGATTCAACAATGCTACTGAAACACTGAATGTTGAAACTGGTCCAAACTTTGCATGTGAATCAGTAGTCCTGAAATTATGCACTCCCAGAATGCTGTGTGGCTGATGAGATGTGGAGGGATGGATATGGGAAGGAGCGTCGTGTCTGCTTCTTGTTACTTTTCAACAGAGACGCGTGTAGGACAGGAACATCGTGAGCCAAATGTCCAATGGGCTGAAGTGGCTGCTTCGGCAAGCAACTCCGACAACAATTTGCGGGCAATCTTGTTGTTCCCCACGTATCCCTACGGGGACTTATGCTGTGACAGCTTCTGGCAGGTTTCTTTAGCTATGAACATGGAGAATAATTCACTTTCTAGATATTTTAGGCTTCTGAAAGTCCCTGAGTGTTGGGTGACTTACTGAATGTATCATAAGCCAGGGGGGAGTGTGTAAAGCAGTACTTTCAATTAAATGCATTTAACTATTTAGTTTTAAAAGTGAACGGAGAGAAGAGTATTTATCTGCATATGTTGTATGTGCAGCAATGGGTGCAACTTTTACATACCGAGAAGACAATATGGACAGCTTGAGCACTCACTCGTGCGTGGTGTCTTCTGCTGTCCCAGGTTGGCGACTGATTGCACTAAATGTCGGCTAGTAGGAGACGCTCGCACTGGGGGAAGTTGTTCCGTGGGCTCATAAATAACAGCAACAGCGGCACTTGTTGCAGGCAAAACAAACCCGCTGTGTATAACGTCAGTGCTTAATTTGTACATATGTAATTTTTGCAAAGTATACAATATAATAGTTTTGTGATGAAATATTAAGAGGAACTCTTACTGCCACGCAAACACACGTTGCTCCCTGTAGGCATTTTACTTTACAATTTGTTTACACATATGGGTGCAGTCTTGTTTAAAATAACCACAACATTCTACAAGGAGCTGGATCCATACCTGAAGACGAGGCGTATTGTGCATACTACGACTCAAAAGCCCGTGTGGATTTAATATGAATATAAGTATGGTAAACGAACTGTAATTAGTCAAAGTTACAACCCTCCCAATACTTGTTTTGCTTAGTTTGAAACTTCCATGTAAATGAAATAGTGTTCTGCTCTACGCTTTCTTAATTCCATTAACAGATAGCAGATATAACATTACACATCCCGTGAACTCCACGGCCTTCTGTGAGTGAATAAATTCAGCAACATTGGTTCAATCCAGGCAAACTGGAACGATTCCAAAATTTATTGTCCCATCCGAAGAGTCGGTTTGTTTAAATCAGTGGTGGTGAAGCCCCAGAGGTTTGTCGGCATGGAACCACTCTGAGATATGGGTCCTCGCTTGACACAAAACCATATAATACTTAACACTAAGTCGTATAATTGTGGAGAATATAAACATAATAAATAATCAGACAAGATGCCGATTTCACATATTGGTCCTTCCACGTAAAACAATAATAAAAGTTTATTTTACACAACACATCAGTGCGAAGGAGGCGAATGGTCTCCTTATTTATTTATTTTGTTACTGATATTCTCCATAGCGATGCGAATTATTATCTTGTTTTTAATTATCGTGTTTAATTATCTTGTGTTTAATTATCTTGTGTTTAATTGTCTTTCTGACATCGGTGGGTGCCGACCTATGGTCTGCACACCGCTATGGCTCACGAGGCCCTGGGAAGTGGTTTGCCAAACTGTTGTAGTTTTTTTTCCACAAAACAGGACATTTGCTTTACTGTATGGTAGTTTGAAGAAAAGAATGTGATTGTTGACGCTTATCTACCGGTCCAGAGACGTCTGTAACCACTGATGTGGATGGTGAAATGACATCACTCTCACAGCGACGTTCTGTGTTCTAGCCCAGTGTGTCGCTCTGTCCAGGCTGCCTCGTACAAACTCCACGGGTATTGGTGATCCATTTGTGATCAAGGAGATCATTTTCTTGGGCTGTGTCTTAGAAAGAATGAGAACCACTCAAGAGGTGTGCTGGGATTACTATTGATGAATAAACATCGAGCAGCATTCTCTGTAATGTGCACACATTCCATGGTGCTGCTCTGTTCTCATCATGAGCGGTACTTGTGAGCAAGCATCCATGCACCGTTGTCTCTATGCAGGAAGAGCCTTGCTTGGAGGCGGTAGCAGGCACAACATGCACATGCTGCGTCAGGCTTGTGCACCTACATTGAAACGCATAACGGCGAGGCTGTTGGCAAGATGTAGCCACAATCTATCCACTGCTGGATGAACGCCTCGTAATGTCTTCACCGTCATTCATGGTCTTGCAATGCCGTAACCAGCTCGCTCCAGCGCGCGAGCTCACGTCATCGCTCCATCTCTGCAGTAGTTGGACTCTCGGCTTTGTTTCCTCCTTTATCTGACATTCATCACCACTCTTGTCCATCAGGTATTATATCTCGCCTCTTGATGTGTCCTGCCTTAGCACACTTTGTATCTTCTTGGTTCTTTCGGTAAAGTCACGTAGAAGGGAAGTAATAAAATAATAAAAAGAAAACATAATTTTTTAAAATAATTATTTTATTATGTTTTATTATTTTAAAATAATTATTTTGTTATGTTTTATTATTTTATTATTTCCCTTCTACGTGACTTTACCGAAAGAACCAAGAAGATGAATCCCTGCAGTCACGAAAGCTTTAAATCACACTTTGTATATCAGTCAAAGTGTCTCTCATGTGTGTTCTGCTGTCTCTCGGTCTAATTCCCTGCATGCTTCTTGCATCAGTTTTCAGGTTTTGTTCCCATTTGTTTGTCAGTGCTCATGTTTCTGATCCATGTCAAATTAGAAAATATGTACTCATTGAAAATGTCCCTCGAGGCTGTTGCTTAAACCAAACGCAATTCCACGCTGCCCGCACTCGCCTCTTCATGTCATCGTGGTGATAGCGATCGGACTTTAATCATTTACGTACTTTGTTGCGTTTTCCAGTTGTATCCTTCCAACCATTATTTGACAGGGTGCTTAAAAACAACGTGAACACTTCCGATCATTTGCGACGCCACCACGAGAAACGCGCGTCCCCTCCGGGCTCTGGAGGGCACCTGGAGAAGATTCCAGGCACGCGTTGACAACGATGGCGAACACGTGGAGACTTTTACTTCTTGAAGCGATTAATATACATTTGTTATGTTACAGGATATTACCCGTTTTTTTTCCCATTAAAAACGATAGTCCTGTATAAGTGTTAACATTTTTGAAGCACTCTGTATTTGACTAAGCTCAGTCGCCGTGTGATATGTTATGCTCAATTATCTTTCGCCCAGATTCTCCACCGTTGCTAATTTCTTCCATCTATGACTCGTAACCATTAGTTGTTATAATGACTATGCCGTCAGTATATACGAGATGGTGAATGTATTATCTTATATTCTCGGTTCTTTCAGTAACGTCACGTAGATAGGAAATACAAATTAAGAGCAAAAAAACATCTGAACAAGACCGCTTGTGTTGCGATCTAAACGTCGTGGGTTTTTTGCTTTTAATTTAGATTTTTGTTTTCTCTCTACGTGACTTTACCGAAAGAACCGAGAATATGAATTCCTGCAGTCACGAAAGTTTTAAGTGTAAAGAATGTATTATCTTTAAGCCTTCATTTCTCCAATCCAATTTGAATCATCCAATGTTGCTGTGGACAACCATCCTGAAACCATACCTCTTACCCAGACTCCTCTTCTCGTTTGTATTTTGCTAATTTCTACAGCCAGTCTAAGTTTAGCAATTCTCTATAAATGGTTTTGATATTTTCTAAAAAAAAAATATTAAATCTTTAGATTGTGAGAGTTTGAAAGAATCAAATTCATCTTTATTTATTTTATGGGTCTTTCGGTAAAGCCACGTAGATAGAAAATAAAAAAATATCACGTTTCGATCGCAACACAACACAAGCCATCGTCTTCTATATTCCTACAATACTTGTAGAGAGGCTCTCTCACCTAAAGACTATTGCTTGTGTTGCGATCGAAACGTCGTGATATTTGTATTATTTTTCTATCTGCGTGGCTTTACCGAAAGACCCATAAAATGTGTATTCCTGCAGTCGCAAAAGCTTCAAGTCAAGATCCATCTTTATTGTCGACAAACACCAGGCATTATGTTTTTTGATATTAATTTGTATTTTCTAGAATCTGATTCGTAGTCAATATGTGGTAAATAGTAGAACATGATTTTAAAAAAATATATATAAATACAGCTTGTTCACATCATTGACCTCTTAATTGTCCATTATATGGTTTCCTATTATCATCGTGAAAAATGTAAAGTTTATTTTTAATGGCGTCATTCGTGCAAATTGCATCTCAAAACACCGAAGTAGGATTTGCAACGATTTGTAACGAATTGTAACGTGTACAGATTTCTCATTGAGGTGCGGGAAAAGTACAGACAAGCTGAAAGGCAACTCTAACCGGTACCAACAATTGCCCAAGCTCTATGTCCTGTGTTTGGATGTTTGGCCTTCCCCATTAATGATTGTTCTATGCATGTGGGAGGACACCTGGAGAAGAGTCGCGTGAGAGAGGTGAGGGGGGATAACACCCAATTCACAAACAGATGGAGGAGACATGGAAATTCACCCACTTGTTGTCCTGCCATCATACCCCGGCAAGCCAGGAGATGGCACCCTTTGGTAGGAACTGGAGAGTTTCGCCAATGCGTGGTCCATCCGAGCTCAGCGTCACACACTGCTGGGTCACAGGCGTCTGCGAAAGTGAGATGTAAATGGGCCAGAAATATTGATCATCAGTTGTCCCCCTTTTCAATAGAAGACAGATGTATTGCATCGTTCTAATATTGAGGGATTCTTATTGGTATTGATGTAAATACGTCTGCTAATTTTGAATCAACAGTTGGTCCCATTATGTTGATGTTCATAGACTGCACATGGCACATAGCTCTCCATTTAATTCATATTGCAAATGGCAGTGGTAAATGCTCTTTTAACAACACGTCTACACTCCTACAATACTTCTACACTAATATAATACTTCTATAAAACTTCTAGACTCCTACAACACTTCTATAAAACTTCTAGACTCCTACAACACTTCTGCACTCCTACAATACTTCTACACTCCTACAATACTTCTACAACACTTCTACACTCCTACAACACTTCTCGTTTACTTTCTTACTTTGCCCACTACCATCAATGGACTATCTATAACAGTGTTATTTATTCATTCTTTAAAGTGGTGACATCCGTTTAATCATTTTGCCTCGTGATGGATTTTAATCTGTTGCTTCGAATCAGTCTTACTTCTGCTACCTCCTGATCTAAGTTTTTAATATTAACTATTTTGTTTTACTTGCATTTAGGTCTGTCCTCTGATAATATTGGAGAGTAATTTTCATCACCCCAGCCTGTGATCACTGTGATGAAATGTTCTGAGGACAGAAATGTCTCTGACAATCTGGGGCTTGCTCGTGGGAATGAAGTAAATTCGATTTCTAATCTCTCCATGTGTGCTGCTCCATGTCCATTTTTAAAAGGCGTTCATAATCTGTTTATGTCCCTGCTGAGAGCAAACTCAGACATGGTCCTATGTGTTGTAACAATCAGACATTTAGCTAACCACACAGTGTCACTGCTGTTAGCTTTCTTTACAGACAGGAAAGCATTGACCATGAAGCCTGAGACCAGCCAGGGAGTAGGTGGCGCTGTGGTGCGCTCCACTCCAACCCGGTACGGTGTGTACTTGCACAAACTTAAAGAGAATATGAGTTAACAAATCTAGCATGCCATTTGTGTCCTAATTATATATATAACAATGTCGGGGAAGTAATTACTTGTACATAGGATTTAAATGAATGTACATGCAGGCTAATTTGAACGTTATTCCTGCGAGCGAGTAGGCAGCGTGCCGATGCAAGTGGAGCGCTGCTCCTGCTGCTCATGATTCCCTGACCCATTACCTCTCGGGCAAATACGATGCGGAGTGCGCTCCTTGTATCTTTACCAAGGAAATTCTGTGATGTATTGTTCGTGTAGGATTTTTGTGTATATATTTTTTAAAACACTGGTTTTAATGTAAACTTGGTAAATGCTGCAGAACTCTCCTCGAGTTATGATATTAGGGCTTGACACCTGTTCGGTATTGACAGTCCCAGGAATTGGCATCTGTATTCGAGTGGCAAGGATTGAGTTGTACTAAGATCTGGTACCGGTGTTGCATTGCACTTGATTCCAGTGTACTGCACAGTTTTGATAACAGACCTCGACTGATGGAAATCTATCTGAGTTCTGTGGAAAGGTTGGCAACCCCAAGTAGAGTCCTTAAAGGACTTTGCGAATCCAGCAGCCTACACTATTCTATTCCAATGCGTTTCTGAGCGGGTTATGAGTGTCTCTGCCTAATCATGATTCAGACTTATTGCAAAGTTGAATTTAAAACTTTGAAATAAAATGTTTTAAACTCTGTCTGCCTTCTGCACATTTAGAAATTCTACATTATTCTTAAATAAAGTGGTCGGAATGTATATGTAGGTGGCTCCATTGTGAAACATTTTCATCGGGCAGCCCATGGCACGAAGTGTTATCCTTTGGCGAAAGATTGGACTGGTGACCACATCAGCATAGAGGCACTTCCACATGCCTTGAAAAAAGTGTTTTGGAAGTATTAAATAACTCTGCAACAACTTCTTATCTTCTCAGATCGATATTCACGGAGGCGTCTCTGACATTCCAATCCCAGTAATTGATGAGTGTCTTTTTATGATTTGCATGTGGTCCTCTTCTCCATGTGGTCCTCTTATCCATGTGGTCCTCTTCCTGTCTCTCGGTTTCATTCACAGCATGCAACTCGCCACGCATGCCATCTAGCAACCCTCATGACCAACTACACGTCCTCAACGACTTCAGTATCACAGTGGCACCCACTGTGCCAGTCACGAAGGTGGCACCGGAAACTACAGCCCTGTGCGGCCGAACGGAAACCCTGAACGTCTCCTCCTTGTGTGAGCTCACTGGTCAACCGACCCATCACGGGCTCTACAAGAGGAAAGTCGTGAATCGGCTCACCCGATGACCACACAGACGAGAAGGAGATCGACCACATGCTGCCCGTGGACCCCCTCGCTGTTCACACAGTTCGGGTGCACAGAGGCACTGGACCGCCACCAGCAACCTCGGAGCACCGTCAGTGCTTGAGCTAAACCCACATTCGAGACTCGATGTCATGCTGCTCTCTGCAGACGATGCATTATTGTCAAATTAAACATCGCGATCACAAACCGCGTCCAGGCACGGGGCCCCGCTGGGGCCAGCAGCAGCATCCCGCTGCTGCCGCACGGCGCGCCCTCCGTGACGCCACTCCCCACGCAACTTCGCCGGTGCTCCGTTTAACGCGTAGGCTGTGTCGGGTGGCGGCGGGTTTTAACGACACATTTATATATTTACGCGATCTAACCCATGCTGAAAGGCCACGAAGCCGGCCCTGGCTCTCCATGGAGACAATGGCCCACACTGGACCAGAAGCGTGCTGCCTGTCTCAGAGAGGACCAGGCAGAAGAAAGAAACCCGAAGCGAGTCTTGAAAGTAAAGGAGACAGACTTGG